CCGGGAGCTTCCTCCCCCTTCCACACAGATGCCAAGCACAAATCCCAGAGGCTCCACGTTGTGCAAACGGTGCCCCACTCCCACCGCCCTCCCCTCAACTCCCTCCTAAAAATAAGGATCCCAAAAGACCAAACACACGCCCCAAAAAGCCTCTTAGTCACGCCGGGCTGAGGGACCAAACGGGCCCTTTCAATTATTGAGTGTGCTCCTTTTTTTAGGCTGAAGCGGCAGAAAACGTCAAATCTGGAGAACGTGGCTGGCTGCAGGTTGTGCAGAGCCCGGACGGCTCCCCCGGGAGCTGGGAAGAGCCCTCAAGCCGAGCGAACCCAGGCAGGTAAAGCAGGAGAAACAGCTTCAATAAGAGGCGGGTTTCCAAGCGTCCCATTTTCAAGAGGCGAAAGGCAAGGAATAATATTTTTCCCTAAAAATTCTGCGCGCTAGCAACCTAAAAGGGGCTGGGTAAGGAGCAGAGAGCGGGACTGCGCCCTTCCCAGGCTGTCGGTACGGGGCTGTGGCTGCGATGCACAGTTGCTGCAGCACGGGCGCGTGGCTCAGCGCAGCCCACCGTTCCCAGCGCCGTTTTGGTGCGAATCCTGCCAGATTCAGGCCTCCTGAGCCAGCGGCCGCGCGTGTGCCCGCACCGCAAGCACCAGGGGTTGTTTGTTAGCTCCTTTTCACGTGCTCCTTGCAGGTCCAGCACGGGGACGGGCATCCATCTCCCCCATCCCGGAGCACGGCGGAGGGCACATTCCCTGCTTCCTTCCCTCCCATCCTCACAGCAGCTCACGGACACGGCTCAGACCTTGGCGCTCCCGCGGTGCAGGGCGCCCGGCGCCGGGCTCTCCGGCCAGGCCGGAGCGCTCCTGCAGCCCGGGACACTCGGGAACACGGGAGTGCCATCCCGGGCACGCCGAGCAGAACAAGGACCCACAGGTTAGTGTGACGTGTTTATTAGGAGGGTGCTTTATTCAGGACAGCGATACACAGCTTGGCATCGTACAGAGCGGGCAGAATCCCGGGAAAACGCCAGCAACGGGGACAGACAAGCTCGGAAGCACAAGGAGGTTAGAGCAACGTGTGTTATGTCCACGACGCGGACAAGGGCACGGGCAGGACATGAGGTTCCAACAAAGCGACACATCCCGCAGCTTCCCGGCCTCCCTGGGACAACGCTTTTCACTTGGCGCTTTCTTACTCACGTTTATTTATTGCACTGAGTTTTCGGCAAGATGCAGACAAGTTTTCTAGGAGCGACAGAGGCTGCAACTCTGCCCTTAGGAAGCTCCCTCATTTCCTGGCTCCCCGACGTGTCCCAGGTCCCTTCCCACTGGGAAGGCCCAAATGGGACACTGTGGAGCTCGGCTGGGAGCCCCTCCAACGGAGAGTGGCACAAAAGCATCGGAACATCCAGCTCCCCGTGCCTGCCTATCCCCGAGTCTGTAAAGCCAACAATACCCAAAAGAATGGGGATAAAAACACGGGAAAAGGGGGGAAAAAGGTAGTTCTTTGGGTCCGGTGGTAGCACGGAGGGATGAATCCTTCCCGGGAGCTGCGGCTGGAGCCGGCGGCTACGGAGAGCGCAGGGAGCTTCCCTCGCGGCTGGACCCTGCTGTGCCCGGGAAACACGGTGTCCGGGGGGAAGGCAGGGGCGCCCGGGGCTCAGCCCCGCTGAGAACACCTCCCATTCACCGCCCCCATTTCCCTCGGGAATTTGTCACTCACTCCGGGCTGCTGGGGCACAACGAGTTAAACCCACTTAAGGCAAAAGGTAGGCAAGAAAAAGCTGCGTGGCCAAGCGGCGCCCCGGCAAATGCGCAGGGCTGCCGCCTTCCTCCCGGAGCAAGCAGGCTTTAAAGTGCTTCGGAGAGGACCCCAAAAGCCCAAATCCCTCCTCTGCTTTGGGAACAGGCACCAAGCGCACGGAGCGGCGCCGAGGAAAGCGCGTGGTGGAGCGAGGCCACGAGAGCCGTGTCCCTCCCGCTCCCCGCAGTGACCCGAGGCTGTGCCAGCGGGCCCGAGCCGACAGAACCCTGCTCCCAGCTGGAAAACAGGGGGAAAACGGAGCGGAAAGCAAAAGCGACACCATGTGCCATTCCTGACGGGTGCCACGGGGGCAAATGGCTACTGCGGTGCTTGGCGCACGGGCCGGTCTCCCCGCACCCTCGCGGGCCGTGGCGGCCGCAGCCACGTCCTCGGCGGCCGTCCCCATTGTCCCCAAGGCAGCTCGGGCACGAAGGCGCCGTCCCCGAGGACAAACCTCTACACCGGGAGCGCTCAAAGCGGCGGGGAGGGAGGCAGGGGGCTCGGAGGCGGGAGCGGAGCTGCCGTCCGGGAGCACCGGCCGCTCCGGAGGCGGACGGAGCGGTGCAGCGCCGCCAGGCGCGTGTGCTTACACGGGGAGGAAGGTTTCGACAAGCACTGCAGAGCAGAGAGGGAGGAGGAGGAGGGTCCTCGGCCGGCGGCGCGGCTGCCCTTGGCTTCTTCTACGCGCCAAGTCGCAGGAGGCAAAGCAAGAGCTCTGTAAAATGCTGAGGGTTTTAGAAGAGGAATGGCAGGTGGAAAAGGACACTGGTGTCGTGGCAGTGGCAGCCCCAGTGTTAGGAGACAGTCTAGGCTTCTAGGAGGAGAAAATAGAAGAGAGGGAGAGGAGGAGGAGAGGGAGAAGGGATGGGGAGAGGGGCAAAAAAGCGCAAGTCGTTAGTAAACATGAACATACAGGTGGCACCGCTAACGAGCAACCGATGACGGAGAGCGGCCGGGGCAGGCGCCCGAGGGCGGGGGAGAGCCGGGGGAGCTTGGGGTGCCACGGGAGCCCCGGGTGCCCCCGGCCGCGCTCCGCTCGGGCAGGGCGGGCGACGCGCGGCTTGCATGCAACGCGGCTGTGTCCCCGTTGTGTTGATACGACCCGGGTACGTAATAATTCCATGGCAATAAACGCGGTGATAATAACAACAATAACAACAATATTAATAAGTGGTGACGGATGCGGCACGCGGAGGAGCGGCCTCCGTGGAGGACTGGCCTCCACAAAGGCCAACAGGGCCCACGTGGCTGCAGAGGCCCTGGGAAGCAGTGACGGATGCAGCACATGGGGGACCGGCCTCCGTGGAGGCCCGGCTGCCTGCAGAGGCCCCGGGATGCAGAGCGCGGGCAGGGCCCTGCGCCAAGGGGCAGCGCGGGGCCCGTGAGCGGGTGAGGGCACCGCGTCCGCCCGCCGCCACCTTCCTCGGGCTCCTCCCAAGCACTTGCTTTGCTTTCTTGCGCCTTCCAAAGCGGAGCAGCGGACTCTGCAAGGAGAGGCCGGCCTCCCGCTCCCACGGGAAGCAGAAGGGGGCACCAAGGAAAGCAGCAGGGGGCAAGGAGCTGGGGGCGCTGGCGCAAGCTGCCGCCTCGCATCCCGCACCGCATCCCTAGGCACGTCCCTATGGAACTGCTGCGGTGCCACACCGCAAACACGGAGATGCCATGGAGCTGCCCGGCTTGGTGGCCGGGTTGGCACAGGGGACAGCAGCGGCCGCGTCCCCGCGCGCGGCCCGCTTCGTGCCGCCCGCGCCAGCCCCGGCGCTGCAGCCTTGCCCCGGGCACGGGCAGAGGGCAGCGCACGGAGCCGCGCCGGGAACGCCGCCTCGCCACCCTCGGCACTTGAGGCCCGTGGCTTTGGCCCTTGATGCCACTTTTAGGCAGCCTTAAACAAGAGAGAAAACAAATCCAGCTCTGCCTCCCAAAGATGGAGCGTATGAATAAACTAAAGAGCCTCGGACACATGGAAGTGCCTTTGATCCACGCTGCTAGCACGTGGCACCGGGAGAGTTAAGCCTCCAGAAGGCTGGCACTACGTAAATAAGACTTTTTATTACTAAATACAATGCAGAAGCTCCATAAAAATCCCAATGCATTCAATTAGCCATACCTGAGGCGTCATAAGCCTGATTTTATTCCTATCTCTTTTTAATTACATGTACTTAAAAGAGAGAATATATCTGCAGGGAGGTTCAGAAGCATCTTTAAATTCTTATTTTTTTGCTAAAAATGTGCCTGTCTTCTTACAATTGACTGGATTTGCAACGGGAAGTCAATGCATGAGATCCCTTTTTTAAATCGTGTTCGTAGTGAGAACTCGAATACCCACTTTGGAAATACAACTTAATCAAATCTTGCTTTTGTTCACCCTCTTCTGCCGTCTTCTACCTTCCTGCCCTTGCTTGGGGCTCTAGCAGGGATGCCAGGGCTGGGTAAGTCCCAGCTTAACCTTAGCAGACATGGAGGAGGCTAAGGCTGAGCCGGAGCTCCCAAGTTAGACCAGGGAAACAGCTCTTAGCATGGCAGGCAGCTCCAGGTTCCTTCAGAAAAGGGAATTACTGCATGTCATTAAACACAACTGCTAAAAGACGAGTGGTTCCTGGCGAACCTACGCTGATAGGAAGATGATTTCTTTGCTGGTTCCCAACCAGCTTTAGTATTGATCAAGTATATTAAGTGGATCAAGGGTTGATCCACTTAGAACACGCTTTTGGCAAGCAAAGTCGTCCTCCTGCTGCTGGACACAGGTTCACAGACCTCGACTTCAGCTTTGGCAGCACACTGCCAGAGCAAATACCGGGGCAGATTTTCCATGATGAGAGTTTGGGGTAGGGGAGAGGGAAAAATAGGCAAGAAAAGCTGCAGAACCCGAGCGGTCGGGGAGCTTCACCAGCACCCGAGCAGCAGGGAGCAAAGCTGCACCCAAGGGCGGTGGGAACGGAGAGGAACCCGAGCGCGAGGGCAGCGTTCCGCTACAGACACCATGGAATTCGCTCAGGTACCAGCGCCTTCCCAACATCAAGCATGCATGAAGTATTAAAATTCTCCAAAAAGATCATAAAAACGAAACAACAAACCTCCGTGGAGAGACGGGGAGAGGCGCGTGAGCGGAGCTTGCGGGCGCGTTCCCCGCTCACGGGCAAGCACCAAGTTGGTCTTGGTCTAGGAGGTTTCCTCCACAAACGTTTACAAACACTCACCCGTGCGGCTATTTCCTAGTCCGTGGTCACCGTTTTCTACCACCATCGGCCCCGAAGCGGAAGGATCTGCAACAAATCACAGCAAATGTCAGTGTTTGGAGGAAACGAACCCTTCGCAACAGCTTTAAACCGCGGAAAGGAGGGGCCCTGCTACCCGACATGGGTAGGAACTGGTTAATCCTCCCAAGCTCTCCCATCCACGCGATGCATGAACTCAGACCTTCCTCCTAGGACTATTTTTGGGAAAAACAAGGCAGCCAGGTCTCCCAGCCCGTGCTGGCAGGCCCCAAAGCGAGAGCAGTGGCCAGGGGACTCCAGGGGGACCCAGGTCGGGGCCCTGCATTCCCAGTTCCCTACAGGAGGAACCCTATGGCACGTGGGGATTTATATCCACGGCTAGAAAAGAGTCTATCCTATCCTATCCTATCCTATCCTACCCTACCCTACCCTACCCTACCCTGTCCTGTCCTGTCCTGTCCTGTCCTGTCCGGTCCTATCCTACCCTATCCTACCCTATCCTATCCATCGAGCTCAGAAAAAAATCAGGAGCTGCTCATTTTTCCTGGCTGGACCCGGCAAACGTGCGGGCAGCGCAAGGCCCAGGGAGAACAGAGGGAATTTGGGAGCGAGCGTTGGGCAGCCTCGGCACGGCTCGCATGGAAAAACCTCCAAGCAAAGCTCCATTCCATGGGGATGCTGCAGGACTTTCCCGGACCCACACCAGCACAGCTGAGTTGTTTGCTTCCCCAAAGCGGGCAAGGTGCCACCCCGGAGCACAGCCGGGCACCACGTTCCCGCAGATCCCAGGCGATCCCGCTCTGCGGCTCCAGGCCATCGGGGGCTTCCGAAGCTTCTCCCTTGTGCACTGCGGGATTTCGAGGAACTCATCCCATTTGTCAGATGTGAAGGAGCAAAAGGGAAGGGATTGCAAGACCGAGGCCGGGCACTTGGCCATAACGGGCAGCGTAAGCTCTCGTGGGGGTTCAAAGAATCCCAGAACCCTTAAGGCTGGAAGGGACCTCTGGATCACCCGGCCGCTGCTGCAGCTGGCCGGCGGATCCGAGGATTGTGTTTATATATAAACAAACTGAGGGCCGCGTGGGCCAAACTGATCATCTGCAGCGACCGGCCGCGATGGGCCGGCCCGGCACACACGCTCCGCAGGCGAGGCGGGCTCGTGCTGCGCGTTCCCGCTGCATCCCACCGGAGCAGCCATGCACCGGAGCGCTGCCGGGCGGCAGAGCCACCTCGTGGCCACCGCGACGTCCCCGTGCGCCGCCCCGGGAGGCCAAGGGGGCTGCGCGGAGCCCCGGCAGGAAGGAAGGGAGCGCTCCAAGCCGCAGGAATCCTTCTCACCTCGGGAAAGCCCCATGAGACGCCTTAGGCGCTAACGGCATCAGGCGCTCACAGCGGCCTGCAGGACGGTGACACCGGCTCAAGCACGGGAGCGCTGCCCGGCAAACTCGCAGCGCGGGATGTTTCAGTGCAGCCTCTTTCTAATCCTCCCTCTGCCCATTTTGAGGAGTTTCTTATAAAGTTATTAGCACTAATATGTGCAAAAGTACATAGGCAGCACCAGGCTTGGGAGGCTAGAACGTGAGTCCGGCTTTGGAATGGGAGGCCCCAAGGCTCAGCCTAGCAAACACCCAAGAGCAAAGCCAGCACGGGCCTCAAGCCGCCAGCTTTGTCCTCTGCCTAAAGCCACCTGGAGCAGAAGTCACCAAATTTAGCAAGTCTGGTCCAGGACTGCATGATGGAAGCACCGGATAAACGCGAGGACGGGGCAATATTCACAGCCTTGGGCAGGACGTTGAACACGCAGAGAGCTGAACGGCAGGCCAAGAGCGAGACGGGAGACTTGATCTCACTCTTCACCTGCGGCGTGGAGCCTAAACCAGGCAGCCCCCTCCACCAGGCTGGCTTTGGTGGCGCGGCAAGCGGGTCCCGCGCGGCCCCGGCCACTTACGTTCCCCCGGCACGGCGTCCGCGTGCGCCTTGCTCCGGGGCTCCTGGCCGCTGCCTTTGCCGTCCTCGTCGTCATCCAGCAGCGGGACGTAGTCCGTTTTATCGACCGTTTCCCCAACCACGTCGTCAAACTTCTCGGCCTCCAGCGTGGCGATGAAGTCCCTCTTGACCTCCTCCTCGATCTCTGGGGGCGGCTCCGTGAGCGCGTCCGCCAGGCTCAGGTTGGGATGCAGGTCAGCCATGCTGCTGCAGCCGCGCGACCTGGGAGCCATGCAAAAGAGAGGAAAAAAAATGGCATTTTTAAGGAAGAGTTTGGGTGCTGGAGGCCGGCGCGTGCGCGACCCCATGCTCCGCACCGCGCCGGTGGGCAGGGCAGGCCCAACGCGGCTGCTTCTGTCCTCAGCAAGCCCTGCTAACGACAGCAGCTCACGGCGCCCATTGCTGCCGCTGGCATCCGGCGTGTGGGGATGCGCCCCGTGAACGAAGCCGCTCCCGACCACAGGGAAAGCTCCCAAAGGCGGCAGGGAGCGAGGCCGGCGCGCACGGATGGCGGCGCCGGAGCAGTCTGCAGGCTCGGCCACCCGAGGCTCACAGCTTCAAGCAACGACCGCAGCCTTCGCCGGCGAGAAGGGACCCGGCGCGGGGTGGGAACCAAGTGCCGGGGCCGGGGATGCTCCGGGCGTCACCGCGGAGCCCTCCATTCACCCCGAGGAAGGGACCTCGCCCCGGCGTTTTCAGCAAGCGGCTTCATGATGCAACTGAACCCGCAAGGACGGAGCAGCCGGGGAGCAGGAACCTCGAGCAGAGCAGCGAGGGGTCGGGGCGCACGAGATGCCCCCAGAACACAGAGCCCCTCATGCCCGCGCAGCCGCCCTGCACGGCGCGAACCCGGCGGCGCCTGCAGCAGCGCGGGCGACGTGGCAGCACGTCCGGCTGCCATCACCACGCGCACCCAGGACGGGTTTAACGCTGCAGCAGCGCGGGCGACGCGGCAGCGCGTCCGGCTGCCATCACCACGCGCACCCAGGACGGGTTTAACGCTGCAGCAGCGCGGGCGACGCGGCAGCGCGTCCGGCTGCCATCACACAGTGTTTGCTCACGTTCAGCCTCCTTTCCCCAAAGCCTTGAGCAAGGGACCAGCCGTGGGGGCTACGCAGGCTCACCGTGGGGTCTACGCAGGCTCACGAGCGGCACCCGGCCCTGCCCGCGTTTAACCCACCAGGACGCACCAAGGGAGCAAAGGAGCAGCGAGCACGGCCCAGAAGGGCCCCTCTGCTCTCCTGCAGCCATCGCAGAGCTCGGGCCGAGGGAGGGAGGACCCAGCAAGCAAGGACCCACTCCTCCGCAAGCGAGGCCGCGCTGGAGGCCGCGGCGCCGGCGTGTGACGCTGGGGCAGCGCGCGGCCCGGCGCGGAGCGTGTTCCGCAGGGCCCGCTCCAGCGCCGCTGAACCCCCAGGGATTCCTGCGGCAGGCGCCCCACTCCCGCACGCGCGGAGGCTCCCAAGGAGGCCAGACCTCCACACGAGCGCAGGCAGGGCTGCGGCCCCGAGGGAAAAACTGAGCGTGAAATAAAGGGAAACGAGCCCGAGGAAGCGGAAGGGGCCGGGAGGAGGAGGGGATGAGCGGGGAGCTGCAGGACGTCCCAAGCAGAAGCGCGGGGATGGGGCACGCGCCGGGCGCTCCCGCCGGGCATCGCGGCGTCTCCCCGGCACGCACGCGGCTCGTGGCCATCCTGTGGGCTAGCAAACCCACCTGCAAGCACACATCCCTTTGTGCGTGTTGACTCCATAGTTCAATCTATGGCAGCTCTTTCTGGATGCAGACACTCACTGCAGTTACAATCATCTGCCTGTGATGCAAAACAAGGAAAAGCAGCTTGTCTGGAGAGCCCAGGGCCCAGGAGGAGGGCGCCCACCCACCCAGCTGAGCTGGCAACAGTGAGGGCGACTCCAAGCTGCTCTGCCCAGATGTACAGGGGGACGGGAGCTAATGTCACGAAAGGGGGACACTTCCACTCCCAAGGAGCACGGTGCACATCTGAACCAGCGCAGTGGGGTGGACACGGGGCTCCAGGTGCCCTGAGAGCGATTACAGCTCTCCAAAAGCAGCCTGGGCTGTGACGAAGAGCACGTTGAAGAGCACTCGAGGTAGGTTCCGTAATGGGCACGACAGCGAGCGGTGGAAAACGCCTGGATTCGAATGCAATCCAACTGAAGTCGGTGCCTAGCAGGGCGACAGAACCAGCACGTTCCCAAAGGCCGGAGCCCTGGGGCGCCAGGGAAGGAGGCTGCTCCGCTCCAGCCGCATCATGAGCATCCCTTGGGAGCGCCCTGTGAAGGCGCTTCCGCCCAGGGAAGGCGCCTCGCCCGCGGGAGCACCGGGCCGTGGCGGTGCCCGCCTTGGCACCACCGCAGCCTGGGAACGATCCACGGCCCGCGCGCACAGCTGAGCTCTCGTGCGCCAATTCCGCTCCAGGCTCCCTTTCTATCGCGTTTATTGGGAGGGCCAGCTCTGCCCCAGACGCTGCAGGATAAAACTGCGTTCTCCAACTGAGAACCAAAGGGATTTGAGTGCCGTGAAGGCAGTTCTGTGGTGGAACCAGCCCGTCCAGCTGCCCAGCACGCAAAGATCCTCCTGCTGCTGCTTCAAAGGACCCACAACTTAATGCTGGCCTGTGCCTGCCTCAGTTTGCCTGTAGTGCAAGGACAGAGGTCTACACAGCGGGGGAACAGGACTCGAGGGCACCGAGCTGTCTGTGGGGGTCAGCAGCTCGAGTCCCCCGTATGCACAGGGAATATGCTGCCCTCCCGCTCCGCTCCTGCCTGGAATACACAACTCCAGCACGGGACTGTCATGTTCAAAGGGGTCAGCTCCACGTCCTGCACCCAGGGCTCGCGAGCAGCAGGCGCAGCAGCCGCCGCGGCGCCAGGGCGCTCTGGGTGACGCAGCGGCTCTCGGCCGGTCCCACAGGCCGGGTGGCACCGCGGCGCTCGGGGGCACGGGGCAGCGCCCGCGCAGCCTCCCCGCGCCGTCTGCAAAACCTCCTCTCCTTGAGTTTGCTCTCCTTGAGTTTGCTCTCCTTGCAGCAGCTTCCCAGCAAACCGGTGCCACGGAGGAGCAGGGACGGGAAGGCAGTGCCTCCGTCACCTGGTGGGCTCTGCTCTGACTCCATCCGAGGGCAGTTCCCCTCCCAAAAGCAGCAGGCAGCCAAGCAGTGCCAGCTACACCCCATGACAACCCGCGGTCACCCGGGCACCCCGTCTCCTGCTGCCCAGTTATCTAACCCTGCTCTGAACTGCGAGCCTCCTTCCCGCGAGCGCTGAAAAAGAGGAGCCTTCCTCCGTGCGTGACACGAGATCGTCTGCGCTAGCTCGTCACATCACATTCTGTGGGAATTAAGCAGAGGTGACATCGAGTTTTATTTATGCATCCGTGTACTTCCTTTCGGAAATCTGTTCCTAGAGCCACTGCTCGGGGGAAGGCAAGAAGCTCATTTATGGCTCTGCAAAGGGACAGAGCGGTCCCTGGTCCTGGGGGTCCCTCCCCAGGACCCCGTGCTCGGCCCGGGGGTGACTGATCAATGTGTGCAAGTACCCGAGGGGAGGATGGAGGGAGAAGGGGCCGAGCTCTTCTCGGTGGTGGCCAGGGACAGGCCAAGGGGCAGTGGGGACAAGGTGACACCCAGCAGGTCCCATCTCCACGGGAGGAAGAGCTGCTGCACTGGGAGGTGCCCGAGCCCTGGCCCAGGCTGCCCAGGGAGGCTGCGGAGGCTCCTGCTCTGGGCATCTCCCCAAGCCGCCCGGGTGCCACCGGGTGCCCCGTGCTCTGGGTGTCCCTGTGGAGCAGGGGCTGCACTGGGGGAGCTCCAGGGGTCCCTGCCACCCTCAGCCATTCTGGGGTTCTGAGGCTTCTCCTTGGCACCCATCCCTGCAGGGTGGCACCTTCCTTAGTGCCCGCAACACGCAGGTCGCCAGGGAAGCTAAGAGCTTTGGGAGGAAGGCAGCCGACTACGGCCACCAAAGGGACGGGTGACAGCGCCAGCCCGAGCAAGGGCTGTCCCCTCCCTGGCAGGACAACAGGGCCGCGCAGCTTGGCCCGCAGGCCAAGCAGCACGCCCGGGCACGCAGGGGCGGCACCGGGGACAGGGGCTTTACTTTGGCCTTGCCACCGCAGGCCCCAAGCAGTGGAGTGGGGAGGTTTTGGGAGAGCGAGGACCAGGAGAGGCAGGGGAAGAGAGCGGCGGGCAGCCCGTGCCCCCGAGAGACCGAGAGCCCCGCGGCGGCCAGCGGGAGAGGGCACCCGGGCACAAGAGCCTCACAAGAGAGGGCACTGAGAGGGGTGGCCTCGCGGGAGAGGGCACCCAGGCACGGCAGCCTCGCCAGGAGAGGGCACCAAGCGGGATGGCCTCGCCAGGAGAGGGCACCCGGGCACGGCGGCCTCGCCGGGCGCCCGCGCCGCACCTAATAAGGCAGCCGTGGGGCGGGCAGCGGGCGCGGGGCAGGCGCCGCGGCTCCGTGCGCCGCGAGCAGCTGTCCCGGCAGCTGCTTTCCCTTAATAGCCGCCGCGCCGCGCGGCACCGGGCAGCGTGGGGCAGGGCAGGCTCGCGCTGCAGCCCGAGCCTTGCTAAGCGCAGGCTTCAGTTTGGGGCTGTTCCTCTCCCAATGAGCCCGAGCTCGTGCAGAGCAGCCCAGGCGGCCGGGCCCGGGCTGGCAGCGGGATGGATGCCCCGGGCTCGGGTGGCACCAAGGGGCCCGGCCGTGCTGCCAGCAGCACCCCTAGAGCCAGATTAGCCCCGAACCCAGGGGCACCCTGAGCCAACGGGAGCCCCGAACAGCAGAGCGGTGCCTACAGCGAGTGCAACGGCCTGGCGCCGGCCCCGCTGCGTGCCAGCCTCGGGAACGCGATCCGGGCACAAGAGCCGCCCCGTTTCCTGCCCAACCTCCTCCTCGGGACCCAGCGCCTGCCCTAGAGCGGCTGCTTCCGTCAGAACAAGCCCGAGCCCCCGAGGCATCGGGCAGCGCGCGAGGCTGCGTCCCGCTGCATTCGGTGCCCGGCTGCGCGCTCCGTGCTGGGTGCAGCGCGGGAAGCCCAGCCGAGCCTTCCCGAACGTGGGAGCAGAGCCGCCCTGTGCCGGCGCGGAAGGGCGGGATTCCTCCGGGAGCAGCTGCTTTCCCCATGGGAGCGACGCCTTCACAGCGGCCATCGCTCCCCAAGATGGAGAGTGGGGACTAAGGGGACGTCCTGCCCATGTCTGCTCCGGGCTCTTCCTCCCCTTCCCCAGCTCTCCTGGAATTCCCGCCGGGATGCTCCTCCTCATGCCACTTTGGGAACGGCGCCTGGAGAGCACGTGTGAGGCCAGAGTGCCCCTGGCACGGTCAACACACACCTCAGCCTGCGGGGAAAGCGGAGCTTGTGCCCCCGCTGCAGCACAGCGAGAATTCCAGGAGCCAGGAAATCCCAGCCAGCGCCACGGGCCAAGCCGCGCACGACGCGAGCAAGGGGCCCCGTGGAAGCGGGATAAGCAGCAGGAACCGACTCGCTCGGTGGGGCCAGTCGGTGCAGGAGGGCAGCGGGTCCAGCAGACCCCAGTGGGTGCTGCTGGCGCTGTTGTCCTTGCAGCCAGGCGCACGCTGAGCTGGCCAAGGCAGCCCCGAGCCCCCCGCTTCGGCCACGCGTGTTGTGACCGGACAGGCTGTCGCTCCTGAAGGAACAGGCGGCGGTGGCAGTCACCGTGGCACCGTGCCGCCGTCCTCCCGTTCCCAGCCGTTCGCAGGGAGCCAGGCGGACAAGGCATGCGGGACAGGCATGAAGGGAAGCGCGGGCGGCCCCAGGGGCAGCCCAGAGCCACACGCAGAGGAGCAAGACTCCCCAGAACGGCCGCAGAGCAGCAGGGACGTTCATCGCCTTTCGGACACGCCTGGTCAAGGCCCTCTCCGCATCGAGCCCCTTAAAGGCTGCAGATGCCCTGGCCCCGGCCTGGGCTTTGCTCCCGGTGCCCCGCGTGGTTACGGAGCCTCCGGGCGGAGGGGCCGGAGCGGCGGCCGCCGGCGCGGGCGGCTCTGCGGCGCCGCGGGTCGTACCTCACAAGCAGCGCTCCCTTCGGCGGATCCTTCAGTCTCCACGGGCCGCTTATCTGCAAGAGACAACGCGAGGGCAGGTGAGACGCGCGCGCGGACACGACGCTAACCCCGCGCCGCGGGGCTTGTCGTGGTCACGCGGCCAAGGTGCCCTCGCTGCCCTTCTCCAGCCTCTCTATTTCCCACCGGAACCTGCCCAAGCTCTTATGGATCCCCGGGAAGCTGTGTGTGCATCCCACAGGTTTTTACACCCCCAGCTGCACGGGGGATGAGGACAGCCCTCCACGGGCACCGTTGCAGGCGCGCGCAGCAACTAAGCAGTCCTTAATGTTGTTTGGATTAACCCTTGAATACTTTCACCCGCGTCCCCTTCAGCTCTCACGTGCTCCAGGTGAGCCCCACAGACTGTTTTCCAGCTGGGTTTTCCAGGTTTCCATGAAATGACCCCCTGGCAGCAGGAGCTGGTTAAGCACGCAGCCCCCTTGCCCGAACACGGAGCTGGATTTGGCTGCAGCAGCGAGGCAGGCAACCTCAAAGCAAAGCACCACGCCGTTAAGGCCGGGCTCACTAAGAGCAGCTCTAACGTTGCGGCTGTCCCCGCAGCCGCACGTGTCACCGGGCAGCGGCGCCAAGGGCCAGAGCCTCGAGTGAAACAGAAAACTAGAGAAAAGAAAGAATGTGGAGCCCCGGAGCAGCGCTCCAGCCTTAGTAACTGCTT